GCGGGGTCCCCTCGGCTGCTGCCACCCGCCCTGCCCCGGTCACCTCCTGGAGGCCCTGCACCTCTCCTGAGCCCCCTTGTGTTGTGGCAGCACCTGAAGTGCTCCGTGGTGTGACATGGAAGCATCTTCCTGCCCTTTCAGGATGGTTCATCACACACGGAGCTGAGAGTGGAGATAAAACCCTCCGTTGTACAGGGCCAGCTCCCTCAGAGAGACCTGGGGGCTGAATCTGAGGCAGCTCAGCCCTGCAGCTCCCGGACCTTGGTCACAGGTCCTTGGTGTCACAGAAGATGACAAGGGGATTCCTGATGTCTTTATTTTTACAATAATTACCCATTCAGCAGCTGGACTGGCCAGTTGTGAGCTGGGCCTGATGTTCTGGGGCAGGGTGGGAAGAGTTGTAAATGTTGACACCACATCCCGTGAGTTGCCAGTTTCTTATGATGCAAGGGTAGAAATTGGCAAAGAGGAAGAAAAGGGAAGGGGAAGGACGCAATAAAAAAAAGATACAAGAGAGAGGAGAGGGGAGGGGAGGAGTGAAGTAAAAACACAATTGCAATGCTGTCTTTTCATGAAGAGTGTATGTAGGATCCCTGTTCCTTGAATTTCATGTAAACAACCAAAAACCTTGGGTGTAGAGACACTCCTCAGTGTTCTCGCTGTCCCTGGTCCTTTTCTAGGTCCACTGTTTGATTTTGTATATTTTTTTCATACATTTGTGGGTGGACACCTGAAATGCCGTTGATGAGCTGCATTCAGTTTCCAGAGAAACCCTCTCAGAACTTGCAGTGGTTTGGGATTTCTGCTGGTTTAAGAACCACCAACCCCAGGGATGTTGCATTGTCCCTGCTGCTTCTCCAGTGAGGCCATGATTGTGCAGAGATCAAGCACGTGTTGTGGCAGGTCTTGGTAATCTTGAAGTAGAAAAATAAACTAACCAACATAATAGAAATGTCACAGCAATTTGTTATGTCTGTATTAAATTTGCCTGGGTTCTAGCATTTGTCCACAATCCTATGTGACACGACTGTGTGTTGCAGGAGGCCTGGATTTTGGATTACTTTGGAGGAAGGAGGATCACATCTCAGACCGGAGCGTTAACTCTGTGCTGGACCCGTGCCAGAACTTTCCAGTTCACCACAAGGTTGGAATATTCCCTGCCAGCAAAGTTATTTTTCCTTCCCACATGAAAACATTCCCTCCACCTTTGCAGTTCTCTGTCAGCTCAGTTTATTAGCACCCCTGAGATGTAGCTCCATCTTACCCCTTGCTGCTGAGGCTGTGGTGCTGACACCCTCCTGCAGATCTGGAATCCAGAAAGTAAAAACACTTCAACATTTGTAGGATTGCTTGTGTCTGTTCAGGAAAAGGTGTTTTTAGAAGACATCATAAATTGTCAATAGCCCTTATAAGTATTCCTTTCACTGCTGGTCTGTAAGCCTCAAAGAGCAAAAGGAAACTCTTATCAGATATGAATATTTGTCCTGGGCTGGAATTCTGCAGGCTGATGACATTTAGTCAGGGCTGTGGTGTGAGTTTCACATACAAAGGCAGGAAATGTTGTGCATTTCCCACTCAGAGCCCTGCTGGGCCGGCCACAGAGCTCTCCCAGAACACAAGGGATTTATCCCAAACTTTCCCACCTCTCCCCTACACCTCTGGACAAGGAACAATTCTCACACATGTTGTGGCTGTGCATAATGATTACCCCAAAAGATTTCTTTCAACTTTTTAACTACACCATGCTAATTAATATTCATTCAAGAGATCTGCATTTTCTTTCAAACAGAAACCCCAAAAACATTTAGTTAAGCATGAACATTGTGAGGGTAGCAGCGCTGGCCTTACAGCTGGCTCTGCATTATTTAACTTTGCACTATTATAAAATAGTTCAGAATTACCTGTAAGCTCTCCCCACCCTGGGAGGCTGTAGCTGTTTGTATAATCTCATTATTTCAATCTCATCTTTGTGAATGGAACCAAAGCAAGCTGAGATAGCAGGGATCCCCTCAGCCCTGGGTGGGGAGCAGGGCTCTGTGCAGCTGATGCTCCCACACCTCTCCTGTCTTCACTTGTGGCAACACATGAGGATTGCTGCTTTTCCTCTCAATTTCAATATTTTATGATCATTTTTCACGGTATCTTGCAAGTTTTAATGGCTGTCTTCTGCTGCCAGAGATCACCTAAGGCCATTGCACCACAAATTTGCAAACATGGAATCTCTGGTTTGCCTTTACCTTAATTAATCCCCAGCTCACCAACCTTTCACTGCCAGAAAACGTGTCTAAGAAATGGAGATCATAAATCAAGTTAAGGATCACAGAGAAATTGTGGCTGTTTGTTCTCTGGGTGTTGCATTTTGTTTGAGTACACATGGTTATATATCTGTACAATCACACGTGAGCTCCTTTCCTTCACCCTCCAGTCTATTCCTGAATGCAAATTCCATTCATTCTTTCCTCTTAAGATAATTGAGCTGTTTCCTTTGATGCTTTTCCCCTGTCTTAGAAATGCAGATTCTTTCCAGCACGGCAAAGGAGAAAGGACAAAATCTAAATGCAGATGAGTCCCTATTGTGACACCAGGTTACAATAAGCCGTGATAAATAAAATACTTGGCACATGTTTCAGCTGGAGATTCGTACTGCTGATTCATCTTGTATTCATCTGGATATATCCCTCAATTAAGGAATAAATTAAGGATTTGAAGTGAGGCATTAGCTCAAGTATGGCCAAATTTATCTGCCTCCAATGATATCAAGAGTCTTGCAAAGCACTCCATGGTCAGGAATTCTCAGCTTTGGGTGACTTCAGGAATTAACACCCTGACTTTACCTTTAAACCTCTGCCTTGTTGCAGGTAGCTCAGCAGAGACCAAGAGCTGTAAATCACAGCAACAGGAGCTCGTGGGGAGAGGGTATCTGTGTCAGCTCCCAGGACCCCAGCCTTGCAGCCTGCATGACTGTCTAAGTGCCTGAACATCCCAGATAACCCAGGGCTTTAACTTTAGGTTGTTTTGATGTAAAACCAACATGGTTTTTATCTTGAGATAACTGCTCCCAGCCAAAAGGAGAGAAGAATTTTAAATGCTTTCCCACAAGGCTGTCTCTTAAGCCAGAGGCACCAGGTGAAGTTTACACTTCAAACCTTTCACTTCAATCCCTCCTAAATCCTGCTAATGACAATTCTTTAGAGCAGAGTGCTGGGGATGCTCCTTCAGCTCACCAAAACGGGCTTGGTTGGAGTCCAAGACCCTCCCACCTCTTCCCTGGCTTTTCTTTTGAGTATAGCAGCAATAAAACACACATCTGAGCATCCCACTTCCACAGTATGTTGTTGTCACACTCTTCACCTTTAAAGAATTCCAACATATGTTTCCCTAAATGCTTTTTCTCTATTTATTCTATGAAGTTCCCAGAATAAATTTAATTTATTGATTCTGACAGTTTTCAGTTGGTTTGGACATTTCACTTGGGTGATTCCCCAAGCTTAGTGCAAGCAAACTCAGCTTGGAGCAGCTGTCTCCTTTCAGTGCAAAAATGATTGGTTTCTGATGTAGATACTGTGGGCCTTGGGCTATATATATATATATATATGCTGTCTCCTTTCAGTGCAAAAATGATTGGTTTCTGATGTAGAATACTGAGGGCCTTGGGCTATATATACATATATATTTTTTTTAATTAATTTTTTTTAAATCCTGCCCTTAAAAGTGGAAAAAAATAAAAAGAAAGTGCATAATCTGTCACAGGACCTTGCTGCAAAAAGGTGTTCTGGGCACGTTTCTATGCACAAACTCCCAATACTTGGTTTGCTCCTCAGTGTGTCCAGCCTGGAAGTGGAGTTCACTGCAATGAACTGTGGGCTGAATTACAGCATAATTTACATGGACAGATTGAAAAGCTTCCTTTCAGTCTTTTTTTTTTTTTTTTTTTCCTGCTTAAAGAAGTCTTTAAGTTCTGCCTCTCCTACATCCCTGGAAATGCCTGCTAGCAGCTGCCATCTTCCAGTTCATCTAATCTAACACAAGAAATTCCCTGTGTGTATTTTCCCTTGGTACAGATCTCCCTCCATCATTTCCACACCAGCTCATGTTGTCTGTGGAGCAGCCCTTCCTTCCTTCCTTCCTTCCTTCCTTCCTTCCTTCCTTCCTTCCTTCCTTCCTTCCTTCCTTCCTT